GTTGAGAGTCGGAGAATGTTGCATCCCTATAACCACAGTGCAGAAGATTGGCTGCTAGAGAGGAAGGCAACTGTTTCAACTTGCAAGATGCCCTTAAGGACTCTCCTCTGGCTGGGATCTCCTCATGCCCTGCCCATCATAAAGAAGGCTGGGTAGCATAGGCTATAGCCCTTTGGCTTCCACGAGGAGGGGGGGATTTTCTTCTAGCTAATGACAAGAGTATAAACAGGATGCCAAGGCAAAAGTGAGGGGTTCAACCTAGGGGTTCAGCCAAACAGGGAGGGGGATCCAGAGCACTAGGCTTCAGAACCAGAGGAGAAGCCCAGATTTGTCGTGCTTGGTGTTTTCTGAAAAGAATTTTGTCCTTCCATCGGATTTTATCTCCACAAACTGGCCTTTTCAATAATAATATTTGTTATGAAGGTTACTGGGTAATTATTGCGATTTTGTGGAGCAGTCCTTGCTGGAGGTGAAGTCTGTCATCGCCTAACAAATGGCGCCCATGCAGTTCACTGCCGGGTTAAGTAAATGCAGAGAATATAAATCTGCACACCCCAGGACCCGCCAGCAGAGCACGCTTTAGCACAAGTTCACAGTCAACCGGTCCGCCCGGGCCAGCTCGCCCAACAATTAAGGCTACGGCTTTATTTTTAAATAAAACAAAAAAACACCCCCACCCCCTTGCCAGATCACCCTTCCCCCTCTTTTCTTACACTTCTGCTTCAAAAGATTCTTTAGTTCTCCCCTAAACTGTCCTCCTCAGTGTGGTCACCAGTGATTTCAAGTTAATCTAGCTCCTAATTCCTGACTTTAAAAAAAAGAGAGAAAAAAAGAAGCAGGAGGCTGGTTTGACAGGAAACATGGTCACAAAGACACAGAAATATACACTCCATCCTCTAATTCCAACTGAAAGTGGTAGGGACAGGACTGCCTAACATCTAGAGGGCCCCTTCCCCCTAAAGAGGGGGCTCGGGCTGTGTATCTTTGTGGTTAGCGCATTACAACTGCAGGTCAAAAAGTTGAGGGTCAAAAGTTTACACTGTGCAGCGCTCTTAGTCATCTGCCCAGACAGAGTTTGATGTCAATGTTAGAGCTGCGATCTTGACTATCAGCACAAAAGATAAAATGGCTCAGAGTGACGCGTGGATCACGGTGTGGACTCCAGGTGAACCCTAGTGGTTGAATGACCTCAATTACGGAGGAAAGGGTAGAAAATTCCTCTTTTCGGGAGTAATACATGCTGTATTTCATATTGAATTATCTCTCCCATGTTGAGGGAATAGCGGCAGGTAAATAGGCATAGATTACCAAAACACCAAAACCTTAAATGCTGGAGGACCAAGAAGGGTTTGTGGGCTTGTCACAAAATAAAAATGCTTAGAACTCATCAGAGGACCATTAAAATACCAAGTAGCAAGTTTCAAACGTCCCATTATGCCCCCTTTATATGAAAACAGAAGAGTGATTCTAATTAGTCTGGGTGTTTTTTTTTAAATGTTGTAATACATATAATAATCTCTAAAGTGGGAGAAAAAAGGGCAGATATCTTGCAAAGAGTATTCTTGGCAAATTTCAAGCATAGATTATGCCCCCCACACAAACAACTCACTCAATGCAAAGGTTGTCAGAGCAGGGACGTGGAAGCCCCAATGAAAGGGACAGGATTTCTAAAGCCACCAGCAGCAGTAGGAAACCGCTTATTAGTGTGACTATGTCCACGTGGTTGGAAAAATTTCTGTTCTGTTTATTGTGAAACCACTGTTGAATATAAGGACTGCTACAATCTGCCAGATGAGTAACGGCATAGAAGGCAGGAAGCTGGGTTCCTCCATGCCCTGTCACATTGTAAAACCACCAGGCTTCTGTTCTCCAGAAAATACTTCCCCAAAAGAGGTTGGAACAAGGGTGAAGGATGAAGTGAGAACATGGGAGTGAGCTAAGGAGTGGGGAGGGGAGGACAGCAGAGAAGGGGAACCCTGTGTTCCAGGAGCAGACGGGGAACCGCGCCTCATTTGTCTGCTGCAAATGAAGTGTTAACCAATATTTTATTTTTCATGCATCTAGATTAGCTTTAAGTGTGGGGGTTGGAATTTGCTTTCTAGGGGACATAGTTTCCTTTTCTATATGTTGACCTTCAAGTGATCGAGGAAGGAAAGTAACAATGAGAAAGATAAAATATTTTTCTTCTTAATTTTGGGAATAATTTAAGGACTCAGAATGTCACTCTTGCAGGTATGTTTGAGAGAATCCCTACACATTCAGTCTAATTAGATTTAATGGGGCCAGGTGTATATTCAGTGGTAAAGCAAATATTTCCCAAATGTTGCCTTCATGGAAGTGAGTGACCTGAATGTCTCTACTGTGCAATGTGTACCCCTCTTACTCTGGCCAGGAGCTTGGAGCCAAATGGGGTTTGCCAGATGAAATGGAAGGTCACTGCCGTCACAGCAGTGAGCTCTTCACATCTGGTCTCTTGAAATGAAAAGAATAGAACCCAGTCCCCCCTCCCTTCACCCAGGAATGAGGTCTCTTCCAGGGAATCTTTTCATTGTGTGTTTGGTTAAAGCCATGTGACACACCTAGGAAACATTTTAACATCAATACTCAAAAACAGCTTTTAGCTGTCTAGTGACAGAATGGACCTGTGGAAGTCGCTGGTTTGAGAATGCTTGATTATTAGGGTTTTGATTTGTTTTGAATACCATCCTGAGTAAATAATCCTGGGTAATCATCCTAAAATGAATATCAGTCCTTATGTCTGGACTGTATTTTTATTTTAAACCATCACCAGGAAATTACACCCTAAAGAAATTAATTGGTAAAAATGGCCAGTCAAATGTTGTTCCTCTATAACCAAATGCCTAGTGTAGGTGGGAGGAATCCCTTAAATGCCACTATCAGGCAGTTTAAAGTCCTGCCATGCCCCAATTTGCTCCAGAGAAGTGCGTGAGATAGAGGACAGCCCAGAGGCCCTCACTCTAAAGAACAAAGGACAAATACAGTCAATACATCCCATAATGCTTACATTTCCTTTGCCTTTCCCCCCTGGTTTTTCCTGGGAAGGACTGACCTGGGCAGAGCCCCCGACTCTCTAAAAGACACTGTATAGACCTTTGAGAAGCGCAAAGTCCAAGGCTGAGGTGAACTTCAGGTCAGCGCGTCTAACAAATATGAAAATGTCGGCTGGTGAGGGCGAGCCTGTGACTTAACAAAGACTGTCAATGTGTAAGATTAATAAGAAACAAAATGCACACGGTGTCACTGTTCGGTCACTTTGAAACTTCGGACAGGGTTGCATTCAAGTGGGAAGGCTGTTCCAAATATATTCAAAATGATTCAAATCAGATTCAAACCAAGCTGCACACACTGCCTCCTCCTAGTCCCCTTTCCCTCAGACTCTGGTCGCCTCTCCTTCTCCATCTGGAACTCGAGGGCATGATGAAAAGTTATTTCACTTAATGGGATTTTAAGAAAGCTTTTGGGGGAATATATGTTATCTCTGCACATGGAAATGAACAAATGTGCTTACCAGTTTCCCAAGGAAACGATAGCGCTCCAACCTCGCTTGGGACTAGAGCCAGTTGGTGTGCGAAGATTAACATGCCCCTCTCTGCTCCATCCAGGGCATCCCATCTTTTCCCCTGGCAAGATCCTGCTGGTAAACTTTGGTTTATTTTTCTAATTGAGTTAGTTTCTTCCTAGCTCTCCTTTGGTGTCTTGGATATTATGTAAAGGCAAGAGGTGCTTTTTTTAGTTTTAATGTTTTTCAGAAGATTATTCGATTCAATGGGATTATGCTATGGCTTGCTTGCCAAGGGAGGCTGTGGAAGGTTCAGGAAAGGCACTGAAACTGTTTATTACAGCCATAAATCTTGCAGTAAAATGTCAAAATGTCGGTGTGTGAGATAACACTTGGTGGTCCTGGCTCCGTGTGTGTTTATGATAGAAGCGCAGAGACAAGTTACAGGCCTTACGGGATTCTGTGCAAGCCCCATCTTCCTCAAGTCATAGAACCTCCGGAAACAGGCATAGCTAACTCATCCAGCTTAATCATATACAAAACAGTGCCAGTGTCTCCTTAATACTTAAAAGGAGAGACTCTGTAGACCATTCGGAGGCTAAACAACATGAATTCTGCGTCTCAGTGCCTGTAAATAATATTAAACAGGCATGGTTAGGACTCCTGTGCTCAGGACTGGTGACACCAGGAACCGGTGAGATTTCCTTATCATGCTTTTCCTCCAGCTTGAAACATAGCCAGATGTGCAATACATATACATATATATTTGTATCTACAGTATATATGTATATTACTTATGTTAGATAATATATAACTTATGTATGTTTTCTTGCTAGAGAGGACTAGATTTCCTCACTCCAGTCTAGAGATCACAATCAGTGCTGATTTCCGTCTGTGGCTCAGATTTCATTTAAAAAAAATTCCGGGTGCCACATGGCAGTGGACTGCTCTCTGTGGGCACATGCACCCAGTGTGGAAAAGCCTCTTTGTGTCCCTTCAGGACCAGTCCAGTCTGAAGCTAACATGATCCTTTTTTTAAACCTCTTTTTCTAAATTAGTTTAAAGATGAGTCTCATATAATAGTCTTTATGTGACTAAGTATTAAACGACTATCCATCAGATGGATATATCCCAGCATTTAGTAGCCCAAATGAGTAACCGATAGAATTGAACATAGAACGGGCATTCTTTTTGAAGTGTCTCCAGGCTTGGATTCTAACTTTCCTTGTCTCCGATACTCAGGTGTGAGAAGGTTGTTGGTTTATATTGCTGTCTGAAAAATCAACTAGGTACACCGACTCAAATATCTCCGCTTCATATGCCAGCATGAGAGTTATTTTTAGACTGGTGACAGGCTAGTTTGCAATGTTTTACTATCGTGCAAAGGGGACCTAGGCGTGTCTGCTATTCAGAAGAGAGGGAGAAGGACAAACACAGTACGAACGAAGCATCAGTATTTACTTCAAAGATCAACATTAGGTGGAATTAATAAGTAATTTATTTGTCAATAATGGCATAATTAGTTTACCCATCAAATTTCAATTACCAAATGGCAGACAACAGTCCCCCCCCCTTCTTTCCGGAGCTACTGATATCGTTAATATGCTAATTTTCAGCAATTCAGAAATCACAGGCTGTCCTGTAAATATAGCCCTAGCCCCAGATACAGCCTGAGGAAACAACACCCAAAAGGAGGAGAGAAAAAAAGATCAGACCCGCCAAGGGTTTTATTCTATGTCAAACTTGTTTCTGTTTGGGGTTTGTTCTGTAATGCGAAGTTACTGGATTCAAAAGCCGGGTTGTGTGCAGGCGTCGCCTCTCCATCCCCACTCCTGGGGAGGCCTCACCACAGTCAAGGAGCCTTGTTTAGCTAGCTTGTCAGCGCCTCCATATATAGAAAGGTTCCAATTCGGAAATGAAATATGCTGTACGAATTCTGCCTCTGGAAAAAAAGAAAAAGAAAAAACATTAAGCATCCCTGAGGTTTTACTGGGCTGCCCTCCCTGTACATCCTTGACTGTATTGTTTAGCGGCTTATTCCACCCACCCTTTCTGTGCGGCTCCAGGCGGGCCACGCAAGGGACTCCCCCCGGCAGCCCGGTGGAGGTGCAGGGTGCGGGTAGAGAACAAAAACAGAAACACCACGGACGAGTAAAATGGGTCTGTAGGCCTCCTCCGTTTTATTCCAGGGCTAGGATAAAAAGTCAAGGTCTGCCTCTTGGTCCCAGTGTCCTTTCCTCTCCTGGAGGGCCTCGAACCCTCGGAGGATCACCCGAGGCCTGGACGGACGGGAGGTCAGCGCTGAGCCGTGGAAACCAGCTGCCCCGAGGCCTAGGACAGATGTGGGCAGAAAGAGGGCTCGACAGGACCCACAGCCTAACAGGCCCCGACTTCTCAGCCCGAATCCAACTTGGGGGGTTGAGGCACCAAAGCTCCTGCTCACTCCTCCCGCCCGGGTGGAGAGCCATATCCATCACGCCCCCGCGTGTTTCCTGATCCGGGTCTGCGCGCGCCGATCGTCCATTGGCCGGGTCGCGGCACGTGGGGCGCGGGGCGGGGCGCGTAGGACTGCGAGACGCGCGGGGGCGGGATGGATATGGCTCTCCACCCGGGCGGGGCGGGAGGAGTGAGCAGGAG